TGCGCTCGGTGCCACTGTTGCCATTGCTTCCGAGGCTGGTTCCAAACAAAGTAATAGACGTCTCTCAACCGCGCCAAAACTGAAATATATATATATATATATATATATATATATATATATATATATATATATATATATCTTAGATTAGGGCCTTTGATCGAACTCAAGCACAGTTCGTGAGTTTTTTTAACGACATTAAGTTTTTCCTTTGGTTTTACAATATGCAAGGAGGTGGTATAAAATTTAATAAAAAACCAGGCAAGCTTGTGTAAGACAAAACGGATACTGACCGATGTAAGATCAGCCTTACATGCACAATATAGATCTGTAAGAGCCTGTCTCTGTCAGTAATACCCTTTGTCGGCCTTTACGCGTGTGCGGGCAAAGCTCAGCTCTGATTACCGCAGAACAACAACGCATTTTGCACGTGTTCATCGTGCTATACATTTCTATTTGCCTCATGTTTTTTTATTAAAAACAATAAATTTACGTGATAGGCATGAAATACATACAAACAATAACAAGCACGTTTATATGGTCTCACTTTGGCGGGAAATGATTTCTGTGACAAAGCTCTTCTTTTGGAAATAAATCACAGTGATACTGGTTTTGTTTAAATCATGATTTAAATTATCTTTAATTTTTCTCCACCCTGAACTCACTGAATTCGTGGTAGGCCTATTTCAGGATATAAATGCTTCGTCGGTAATCTGAAAAAGTGCAGTGATTGCACTTTCTAGAAGTCGGGAGGGTTTCTCGACGTAACCAAGGATGCAGTGTGATTCACAAATGTAAAATTCATTTTCTGGTATATGTCAGAAAAGGAGAACAACTAGATGTCCTTTTTAGGTCTGCCCCAGCCCTTGTGCAACGTCACCCTCAGAGGATCTGCTCAAAAAGCCGAAGTTCCGTCCGTGCCCGGTTCCGCCGCCACAGCTTCGTACACGAAATGGGGCCGCAGCTAGGCTGCTGAACGCGTCGCACTGTCGAACGCCCGCTCCTCCGCTAGAGGCGCTACGCGCATTTCTCAAAGCGTCCCCTATGTTCCTGCACGATGAGTAAAGTCGGTGACACGTTAAGCACTCAGGGTGAGGGAAAGAAATGCTGGCAAGGAGGAAGCGAGCCGACTGCTAGAGCGAGGGGATGTTTCCTCTTGTCTCCAGCAAACCATCCGCCTCCTCCTCACCCTCAACTCTTAGCCTGCATTTTCTCAATGTAACATTTCTTAGCACTGCCTTAGATATCTTAGAACATTGGTGTTTTGCAGTTCTGGAGGATCGGGCAATACCTACGTCGAACGCAACAGTTCTGTCGAAAATTCCTTCCCTCACAATGTCCGCAACGGGTAATTTACCCACTACAGAACCAGTTTCTACAACGATGGATGCCAGTGCATATGAAAGTAAGTCACTTAGAATTTCAGTTCGCTTTAGAAACTACAAATATTTAGGGCTGGGCGTCGATTAAAATTTTTAACCCCGATTAATCGCCACCCTTTAATCGATTAATTAATCGATTAATCGGTGTTGGTAATTTTCACGCATAATCTTAGAAAACAGTCATAAATGATTAATGTTTTTTGTGTGTGCGTTTTTTATTGCTTTTGCTGAACATGTGGTCAAGAGCGCGATGCATATACAATTTCAATAATGAATCAACCTCGATGTGTGATCCAAAAGATGTTCATAGACACTCGCAGATTATTACTTCAGCTGCATGAGGAAAAGAGGTTCGTTGATATTCTCCGCCAAGAGCGACCTGCTCTGAATCCTCGCAATAGTCTCTGCTGCGCTAGACGGAGACTGGAACGCCGTTGGAGTGGCCGCGATACATGCGACCTTCTGCGCTAGTCAGGAGTTCCAAATATTGCCCCTACATTTTACTTTATGCTAAAATTTTACTTAAAGATTGCCCTTCATACAGCTGCATTCGTCCACTTCTGCATGGCGAAGACGAGCAATATTATTTTTTTGTGTGTCAAACTTTTACCTATTAACCGGTAAGAAAAAAATAATCGCGATTAAAGCATTAATCGATTAATCGGTAGGTTAATCGATCAATAGCCCAGCCCTAAATTATTGATCAATAACGTTTGAAGCATTTAAAATTTTGAGAATTTTTACGAATTCAACTCCTTGACAGTGGATCCACCGAAGAAAAAAAAATGGAGGGCGAATTTTAAAGTATATGCTAGCGTGATATATAGCAGTGCGTATTTTTTCTCAACTATGGCCTCATTATTAATCTCAAAACCTTTCCAAAGAAAAGACTAATAGCCTTCTTGCTCCCATGAAAGAATAGGAGCGGGAAAGTTGTGCTTGGTAGTAAAACCGACAGGGAAGGAAAGAAATAGGCTTAGAATAAATATATTGTTTGCTTTTCCTAGTAAAATAGTCTTAATCCGGCACCAATTGTGACAGTTTGGGCCGAATTTCCTTCAATGCACTCTTCAGAGTGTATTGAAGGATATCATGCAGTCTGGGTGTATCAAATATTTAGCACCTTACCTGCTGCATGTTAGCATCCCAGTATATATGCAATATAAAATACGGTGAATTCCAATGGTACAACCTTTTTGTAAAAATCTTTTGATTATTACTACTTTTATTCTACCTAACGACGTTTTCTGGTGCAAATTGTACTAACATGCATGTAACCGAATATACAAATATTGGACCCGTATAAATACGTCAGCAGTGAGATACAACTATGTTCCTCGATAGCTCTTGTAACAAAAACTCAAAAATAGGCTGAGCGATCTGTTTTCGTGAATAAATTGTTAAGCGTTTGCAGCCAATTACTTTGAAACATGACCAAAATATAACGACTGAGACTACCGAATCTCAAGCAAATCTTACAAAGTTTTTCTTGAGTAAGAGCAGTTATTTTTGTTTTTTGAAAGCATATACATAGCAATGACAATCTGGGTAAAAACGCAAAAAAAAAAAAGAAACGTAAACACTAGACGGTTTGGGTTATGCTTGGACAATTCAGGAGACCGCACTTCTAATCCCTGCTGTGGTACCACTTTCAGGGGCGTGGAGAAACGATACGTGATAAGGACAGGAGTATGAGGATCTACAAGTACAAAACGAGCGTGTTGGTAACTGTAATTAAACATGAAGAATATTCCAGAATTTTATGATGTGCTAACTGGTGACCCGACTCCACAAAATAGTACAAAAACTTGCACATAATAGATATCACATTTTTAAGTGAGTTGAGCGGAAATGTAACCTCATGAAAGCATCTTTACATACAGTTAAGAAGCATTTGTGTATCAGGCAGCACCAATAACCAATTTAACTGATATGCTAGTGGCCCCTATTTATTTTGTCAGTAATCAAAACATTGCTGCTGCCTAATGAGACACCACACTTTGTGTATTATTGGAAGTCTTCGTTTTTAAATATAATAAATGAGACGTTTGCGGCCATCCTGTGTTGCGATCAGAAATTCCGAGGACACGATATTTTACACTCAGGTTATACTCGCCTAGTTTACATGAACATTAAATGTTCTGTTCTTTATATCCTGATCTGCACCTTATTTATTTCATTTCTCGGAAATATTTTTGTTGTTAGTGTTTTGGCTCGCTGTGTACAATATCACTGATTCGCCTCCATCAAGATCTTCATTTTTTCACAAAGCTTTCACAAAAATATTGTTGAAGCTCTTGCTTCTAACTACAATAACATATAGTTTCGGAACACTCATCTGGGTTCAGGCGTTTGAATGGTTATTAAAACGAGTGAGTGCCACGAATGGAAACTTTAAAAAATTGCGGCTTCATAAACGATACATTTTATAGCAATCAATACACATGCACGCATTTCGAACTGGTGGTAAAAACAATTATGACAATTGATGCAGACAAAACGTCATCAGAGTCAGGCAAGCCCTCCGTGCTCTAAGCGCCGCCCCCGGTCAATACTATGTCATCGACGGATGTCACCTAATGACGGAGATCAACCAGGAAGCACCGAAAAACACGGCGACCATCATCCCATTTAAATTTCTAGAGTTTGATCCACTCCCTATTCAGATTTTTTTAATGATATACCTATCGTGCTTACCTTTATTGCAATATGTGTTTTCTTTGGGCAAAGTATGGCCGTAATAGGAACTCGGTTAATGATTAATAAAATATATCCGGAGTTGTCGATTTAAGAGTCTTCCGTGCGTTTAAGTTGAACCGAAGGGTGTTGTGCAGGATTGCTGAAAGCACGTGTGAGAGTACGTAACTTTGACAAAACGCATTTCTGGCATGAGCGCTTGAGTGAATAAAGCATTTCAAAATGCCTTGCTCTCCCTAGTGTGCACCTTATAACAGTAGAGCTGTGTTGGGTTTCTAAGTATAATTGTGGACTTAGCAGAATGGCTGCTTACAAGTACATCCGCAGCGTAGTCTTGACTCACGTATGCAAATGTAGAGAAGAGTAAAAAAACACAACTGTCTGGAATTTGCGTACTTTGTCTTGTGAACAATACGATTACATAAAAACGCCTACTGAACTTTACACATGGTCGAATAAAAAATGCGCTTTATTTAAAACAAAGCATCTAAGCAAGAGTCTTCACACAACGAGTGATTCTTAAAAACAAAAACGAATGGTCATTTGAGTTTTTTTTTTATTTTGAATATACTGTTAGCAGAAATGACACATTGGCATTGAAGTCAAAAACCGCACAAGCCGGAATCATAAGCTACAAAATTACTCACCCATAAAGCCGCAAACATTGCGAATGCATTAAATATTTAGGCATTTTGGTCTATCTTCGGCTGTACAGGTAAGAGAAATGATAAGTTCAATATATTACGCTGTACTCAAATAAATCAAAACCCTGGATCACTGAGATAAGTAAACATTAAAAGGCCAAAGTGAGCTTGAATTCATACGAGTAAAATACCCCGCCGCAAGTCATTTTCCTTCTCGGTGTTGACTGTGAAAAAGTGCGTAAGACTGTAAATGCCCCATAGAACTGATTCAGGAAACAAATGATCATTGGATTTTTTATTCTTATTTTTATGTACACATACTGTTCGCAGATCTGGTACTTTAATAGGGTGGAGTATCTGCAGCCTTACAATTCTGAAGTCAAGACTAATACAAGCTGGAAATAAAGGAAAAAATAATTGTTGCGCGATAAAGTTTTTTTTTTATAACTAGAAAGCCACAAAAACGCTGATGCGTGATAGATTGTTAGATATTTGGGCATCCCGAGTTTTATTTTAAAGGGGTGGTGCAACGAAACTGAATTAAGGAGGTTTCTTTTTTTTTTTTCTTTTTACACGAGCTTTTTTTTTTTTTTTTTGCACCCGAGTATAATCACACGGAACAACACTGACCAAGAACCATCTCTGTTGCGGAGTAATTACGGAGTAATTTCAAGGAGAAAAGCGAGTGTTTTCCTGGTGGCGTAGGTTGGAGGTTGCAGTGCCATGACGATATTTGAACTCGGCTCGTAGGTTGCATCGGAGCATTGCGTGAGCACTCGATTTCACTTTGAGATAATTAATAGCTTGACAAGCAATTTCTTCTGCGATTGCCATTGCATGGGAAGAAAAACCACCGCGCCTTATCATGGGTTATAAACATCAGGTATTCATTTCAAGCGGTATTTGCGCCAAGTACAAAAGTCGTTGCACCGCTCCTTTAAGACATAAGATCAACATATTACACGATATTCAAAGAAATAAATGGAGTTTATCACTGAGGTAATTGAGCATCAGGTAGGCCCAGTGAGCGTGAATTTACGTGCATAAAACGTCCAGACAAAAGTAATATTTCACCTAAATATTGGGTGTGAAAAAACTACGCTAGTTCATGAACCTCCAATAGAAGTGATGATAATTTCCGAAACCCCCAAATCTTTGTCGCTTTTGGGGGTTTATTTTGTTTCCAGTTCTTTAATATTGCATTATATATATTATGTACAAGACACAGCGTACGGTACAGCTGAACATTAACGAAGCATCTGGGTTTCGGAAAGGAAATTTTATCTTGTTAAAAAACATAAGTAAAATAAAATTTGTAGAGCTACAATTCCGCACAGATTAAAAACAACGCGTCAGCCACCTGCTAAAACCACCAGCCTGCTACACATGGTCATAAGGCAAGTCAGCAGGCCCACAGTTATGAGAATACATTCCAATGACACATTCGCAATAAAAAGCCATCTATCGTAAACCGGGACAATGAGATGATGTCAGATACAAGTTATTCATGTATAGTTCGAAAAAAAAACACCTGAAAACGAAATGAGGATCCGCGCCACATGCCTTTATGACGTGTGACGCGGAGTACAGTTGCGTTAGCAGCATAAAAAAGAGCGTCTTAAAAGCCTAAAAGTGGAGCCCACAAAAAAAAAAAAAAAATAGCAACAAACTTCCTATCTTAAAACCATCTTACCAAGCTCCAGCATAAAAGAAGCTGGGATTTCTTTGTTAATCCATATCACCTCAAGCCGACAAAAAAGATGCTGACAAACATTTGGGTAACAAAATTTTTAAAAAAGACTGTGTTTTAGTTCTGTTGAGCACACGTAATGGTTTCTCTGTAAGCTTGCGAACGAAGTCGCTGATGCAATTTTGACGCTTCCACGGATATATTCACAAGTGTTAGTTTGTATTCACAAAACATCTACCGAAGTGAAGTTTCGTAAACGAAAGGAATGCCATAATTCTTGCAGGTTTATGATCACAGGCGAAACCCCTCCCATAAAGCTCTGTGCTCTCCAGGATTGGCAGTTTTCTCCTCTCAACTCGTCCCCTTTTTAGCGTCCGCTCCGCTAAAGAGGAGAGAGTGGAGGGCTTTTTGAGAGAAGCTTGTGCTGCCTTTCGTAACCCGCAACAAACTACTGATAGGTTTCGGCCTTCTGCGCAATATGGCCACACCTCCAAGATGAGAAGGTCATAGAACTGAATTTTCGACGTCACCCTAAGGAGGCCAACGCGGGGCACGGATTGGACACGAGTGTTTCCATCAGCGTTCGGCTGGAACTCGTGTCCTCGCTGATTGGACGCGAGTGTTCGCCGAAAGCCGACGTCAGCACTCGTGTCCAATCCGTGCCCCGCGTTCGCCACTTTAGGGTGACGCCGAAACTTCAGCACTGCGGCGTTCGAATCTAGGCAATGTTGGACACGGTCGCCCATCGCTAGTGATGCAGAAATCCGTGCATGGCCAGGATAATGTTGGGAACCAGGAAGGCCGCGGCCGGCGTCGGCACAGGTGCTCCGGAGAACATGGGCTCGACGTGCGCGAGGGTGCCGTTGTTGTCCTTGGGCGCGATGCCCAGCAGGCGACACACGACGTTGTAGTGGTCCACCATGTGAACGCCCTCGTTCAGGAAGCCTTTCTTCAGACCTGGGGCGTGTGAGGAAAGGCGTCGTTGAAGGCAACGTGGGAGGATCGGATCGCTCCCCGAAAGGGCGCAGACTACCCGGCATGGACCACGCTTGTAGATTTGGTCAACAAAGTTCTCGGGGAAAGGTCATCGGGGAAGGATCAGCAAATCCTCGGACTAGAGGCTTTCAGAAATAAAGTATATAGTCTCTTTAGTCACTCGCAGTTTAAGAATAACCGGGCGTGGTTAGCCCTCAGCATGCGATTATATAGATTAACATATTTACTCGAGTAATAGCCGCTCGGTTTATAAAGAAAACCTGAGGGTTTGCTTTTCCACGGAGCACGCAGATTGCCAATCACCGCGATCGACAGCATGGTTCCAGCAGTTTACTAGACAGTGATAAAGTCTTCGCACGAAGATACCATGTATGAAGATTGCATTTGTACGGGGACTCCTGTTCTCGATCTAGTCATTCGCTATGCTATTTATGCGCATCGCGATCACTGGCAATATACACTCTAAAAAAAGTCCGTGTGTCCATCCCCCCCCCCCCCCCCCCGCACAAAACTCGGTGAGCCAATCACCGCAACTTACGGAGGCAGCTCAGCGAATGACGATGCCGAAACATATTGTCGTTTACCGCTTACAAGCTGTTCATTTACTGGACGTCCGCTTGCTTTGCTCGCACTCTAAAAAAAGGTTTGTGCGTCTACTTTCACGCACAACACTCGGAGAGCCAATCACCGCAACTTACGGAGGCAGCTCAGCGAATGACACTGGCGAAACATATGTTTAGACCAAAAAACGCAGTCTTAGTTGTGACATGAAGCAATGCAAAACGTCACGATTGCATTGCTTAATGTCAGAACTCAGACTGCGCTTTTTGGTCTAAACATATGTTTCTGCATTGTCATTTGCTGAGCTGCCTCCGTAAGTTGCGGTGATTGGCTCTCCGAGTGTTGTGCAGGAAAGTAGACGCACGGCCTTTTTTTTAGAGTGCGTAGGCTTCCAACTCTGTCGCGAGCACTCTGTGTTCTCCTCGTTGTATTCTTCTCCGCGACATCACCTTCATACATAATCCCCCTCCCGTCTTCTGGAATTTTATCAGGGTTTAACGAAGTCCTTCATACAAGGACAGTCGATCACGGTGACCCACGAGTGCCCGAGATGAATCGTTTTGACGTATGCGATAGACCACGTTACAGAGCCGTTTCACGATTGTAAAGGGTCCTTGCCAGTGACGCTGCAGCTTTGGGGACAATCTCCGTTTCCGAATCGGATTATACAGCCATACCCTGTCGCCTGGTGAAAAAGGGCGTGTTGTGACGTGTGCGTCATACTGGCTCTTCATGCGAGCAAGGCCCATGATAACCGTTATCGAACAAATGCGTGCATTCGCTCGAGATTTGTTCTCAGTTTGTTCACGAAAGACACAGGGTCTGTGGCCGGTTCTGATGCTCGTGGGATGGTTAGTTCACAGGGCATACGAAGGTCATGGCCGAGCAGCATCATCGCTGGCGTGTAACCGGCGACCTCATGAGCTGCTGTACGGTATGCGTACAAAAATAGGTGCACGACGCTGTCCCAGTCATCTTGACGGTCATTTACAAACATCGACAGATATTGTAAGATGGTGCGGTTCATTCTTTCTACCAAGCCGTTTGACTGCGGGTGGAAAGATGTGGTCCTCGTCTGGGCGATGATGAAGGCCTGGCAAACTTCTTGAAATACGTGAGATTCAAAGCTCCTCCCTTGATCCGAGTGAATGCTCAGGGGCGCCCCCGTACCTGGTGATCCAATTCTTCACCAGGGCGTCAGCGATTTCAGGGGTGGTCTGGTTTGGATTTGGAATAACCACCGGCCACTTTGTAAGTAGTCAAGAATGACTAGCAAGAACCAGGAACCAGATGTAGACCGGGGAAGTGGGCCTAGCACGTCAATGCCAACCCGCTCAAAAGGCGCCCCTGTCACCTGCTCTTGAAGTGGTGCTCGCTGTTTGGCGTGAGATCCTTTACGAGAGGCGCACATGTCGTACTGACGACACCGCTGCTTCACTTCACTGTGGCACTTCAGCCAGTACAAGCGTTGGCGAATCTTCTTTATCGTGCGATTCACGCCGAAGTGTCCTCCTTCTGAACTGCTGAGCAGTGGTTGAAATACGAGGGAGCAGAGTACGTGTGGCAGTACCAGTTGGCAGACGACAGAGCCACCCGCAGCGGACTCCCAGCGTCGATAGAGAACGTTGTCACAAAGGTATACAGAGTCCCATTGCACCAAGTAGCCCTTAAGGGTAGTAGATAAGCTGGATACCTCTTTGCTTTCAGGTCGCCTATTCTTCATTTTCCATTGTATGAGCAGGCCGATGTCTGGATCGTCAAGTTGAGCTGCCCGAAGACTTTCCGGTGTCCACGTTTCGTTGCCACAAGGAATTGCTTTGAGTGAGATGCAGCTGCGTTTTGTAATGCTTGTGCGCTGCTTGCACGACTTCTCACCGCATGGACGACGCGAAAGGCCGTCGGCATTGGTGTGGAGTGACCCGGGGCGATGCTGTATGTCGAAGTTGTATTGGTGAAGGCGTTCCAGCCTTCGGGCGACCTGTCCATCAGGGGTCTTAAAACTCAACATCCAAGTTTATGAAGCGTGGTCGGTTCGAATAATGAATTTCCGCAAAGAAAATAATAATGGAAATGGGTAATGGCCTTGATAATAGCCAAACGTTCGCGTCGGGTGGTGCAGCAGTTGCGTTCTGGCTTCGTAAAAGCCGTACTATAATACGCAATGAGTCGCTCATGCCCATCTGGGTGTTGCGATAGTGCAGCGCCGGCTGCCGAGGCGCTAGCGTTGGTGTCAAGGATGAATGGTGTTGTGTCTTTTGGGAAGGCAAGAGTTGGTGGAGACGTGAGGGCCGTTTTGTGTGTGCCGAAGGCCAGTTGGCATTACGGGGACCAGACAAACGGGGCTTTCTTTTCTGTCAAGGTATACAAGGGCTTGGTGATGTGGGCGAAACTAGGGACGAATCTTCGGTAGTACGATGCCAGCCCAATGAAGCTTTGAACGTCAGCGGTGGATCTCGGGGTTGGCCACTCGGCAATAGCAGAGAGTTTCCAAGGATCTGTGGAAACCCCGTCCGTCGAAATGATGTGCCCGAAGTACTCAACCTGCCTTGTGCACAGCGAACATTTGTTTGGTGTAAGCTTTAGGTCTGCCGTTTGAGGTCGTGCAAGCACAAGCTGGAGATTCACCAGGTGATCGGAGACTGTCTTGCCCAATACCACAATGTCGTCGAGGTATACAAGACAAACTGTGCCTATGAAACCATGCAGCACAGATTCCATTAGTCTCTGGAATGTAGCCGGGGCGTTGCAGAGCCCGAATGGCATCACTCGGAATTGGTATGAGCCATGACCTGTAGTGAAGGCACTCTTTTCTCGATCATCCGGGTGTACGGGAACCTGCCAGTATCCCCTTTTGGGGTCAAGATTGGAGAACCACTCGCAGCCTTTGAGAGCGTCCAAGATATCATCAGTTCGAGGCAAAGGAAAGGAGTCCTTCTTGGTAACATCATTTAGACATCGATAATCCACGCAAAAAAAAATGTTGACCCGTCCTTTTTCTTTGCCAGTGTCACTGGTGAAGAACAAGGGGAACACGCGGGTTTAATCACGCCCTGCTGTAGAATGGTATTTATCATGTCGTTAACAGATGACTGTTGTGCAAGGGGAATGCGTCGAGGACACTGTAGTACAGGGGTAGCCTGTCCCGTCACTATGTGGAGTGTTGCTGCTGATGACAAGCCCGTATACCTGTCCCCCGTGCTGAAAAGCTTTGTAAATCTTTCAAGTAGCTGATGAAGCTTACGCGCACTGGTTTTATCGAGGCCAACAGTCGCGCCCTCGTAGAGAGGTAACACGTGTTGGGCCAACTTTGTTGGTAATACGTAGAGACACGGACACGAGAACTCGGCATTTATTGGGAGTCCACTGTCGCAGTAAACCGTCACTGTGGCAGCACCCAGGGGAAACGAGTCGGTTCCCAAATGTAGCAATCCGGTATTGAAGTCAAGCACACATTTGTGTGCGTTGAGAAAATCAACGCCAAGAATGCACTGCTCCTCGACAGCCGCGACGACAACCGGCAAAGCAGCTTAAAGGCCTCCCACGGTGAAAGGCACGGTAGTGTAGCCGAGTACAGCTACCGTCTCCCCTGTTGCGGTCTGCAGAGCATAGTCACCGGAGTTTGTGGGACAACTCTGTTTGCCTTCACCCAAACTTCTGGCCGGATTGCAGAGGTTTATGCGCCGGTATCGACAAGTGCACGTACTGGTACCCCGTCTACGACGCCCTGGAGGTAGATGGAAGTCAAAGATGAAGCCAAGACGCGAGTTGACGTAATTCTTCTTGGATCCATTGTCGTTGAGGTCCGGCTACAAGAGCCAAAGTCATGGTTTGGGCACTGCGACCGCGTGTGACCTTGCTGGTGACAATACCAGCAAATTGGCGTCTTTATAGCTGGAGTTTGCGATTGCATGAAGGACTCTACATGCGTGGATCGAGATGCCTGTCGGGCAGCCTGTACCTCCAAGCCACAAGTGTGTGCTACCCGCAGAGTCTTATGGCGCATTCACACTGGAAGCGGATCCGCGTTCGCGAAGCGGTCGCGGATGTGGCTCGCGAGGGACCCCGTTCACACACACCGAGAGGCGGTTGGCGGTTTCTCGGCAATCACGCGTGATCTTTTGATACTTGCGTTTGGCAGCCCTGTTTTGCAACCCAAAATCCACTTGAATTCAAGATCCAAAGCCAAACTTTTGCTATTTTGGCACTCGGAATATTTTTCCCCGGGATGTTCGCACGCATCACGAGTTCAGGCAGCGAAACAAGAAGCATGGACCCGCCAAACTCGCCTGTGATTCCCTCGACTTCCTCCACAAGCAAAGCCCAGCTAGGCGCGCCTTGCTGACTCAGAACGGGATGCCCCCGACCTTTTCTTCGAAGTGGACCCTTCCCGCATGAATAGCTGGCCTTGTTTTCGGGATAGAGGGCCAGTTTCCCCCCTCGTTGTTGTTCGCTCTTACCATTTTCGAAGTTGTGAGCGGTGGGGTGGACCGTGGTGCGGGGGAATGTGTTCGGTGCTAGCCGGTCGTGGCTTCGTTAGTGGCGGACTCTCCTCTCGTCACTCGCTCGCCAATTGAGTCTACTGTTTGTTTGACATTAAGCTCAAATAAACGCCGTATGGATTACCTCTTCATTGTCTGCTACGTACACTTTATTTCTTGAGTAGGTTCCCTTTATTTATTTTATTAGTAGTAAACGTTAGACGTCGAGCTAGCGCAGGTACCCTGCCCCCTCCGTGGTAGTGCGTTGGCTACGCAATCAAGCTCACGACGTCTCTATCGGCCTTCGTGGTGATCATGCACGGTGTCGAAAGCTTTCAATAGTTCACGCGACTATCTTGGTGGGTAGAAAAGCTGAGATTTCGGTCGATCAAGGGCGGGTTCCGACGCTCTACAGGCAGAGATTAACAAGACAGCGAGCTTGGGCTGTGGCACCCGGAATAATAAACAAACTTTTATCCGAACCAAATCACCAATGCGAAGCCCGTTAAAATTACGAGTCAATTCTTTTAACGACGGATTCAAGTGACGGACGTAAACATCAAGTTTCTCCGTTGATTTGTCGAAAGCTAAGACTACAGCGCTAGGACTACAGCGCCTTGGATGCCTCACTAGCGACAGGTGCCATCTTGTTTTGAAAGTCACTGTCACGTCAGCGTCGCGTTGTGATTGGTTGCCGCATTGCGGTTCGTGAACGCGGTTGGGAGAAATCGGTCCCGAAGCGGTTGGCAAAAACGCGCTCCAACCGCTCGATTCTAGCCGCTTTGCGGTTGAGAACGCGCGGATCCGCCCCGCGAACGCGGATCCGCTTCCACTGTGAACGCGCCATTAGGGCGTGCAAGGCGAACCGTATCCTGTACCTCAACAGACGAGATGGTGTCGATAAATGCCATGGTAGCGACAGCCTCCACCGTGTCCTCTGGGCAGTCTGGGAACGCAAGACGTGCGAGGCGTTCAATGTCATCCGCGAGGTCGGAGATTGTCTCCAGCGCAGACTGACGACGGTTGCGAAGTTGTGCATAATGAGGAACCGAAGCGGCCCTTCCCCAAAGCGCTCGTCCAATGCCGCGACCAACGGCTGGTAGGATTGACGATTTTCAGGTGGCAAATGATGCAATAGGGTCAACGCTGGTCCGGCGAGATGGGCGGCCAAGGCTTGAGCTTTTTGGGCCTTTGACCAATGGTTCACGTCAGTGATGAGGTTGAATTGATATGTAGGGGGGCCAAGGAGCGGTACCGTTGTACGCTGACGGTTTTAGTCGTAGGCTCGGGTGCCCCAAGGGGCTTTGGGCTGGAACGTCAACGACACGGGGCTCCATGGGGTCAGGCAATCGGTCCTCTAGACGCTGGAGGCGTTCGGTGAGAGATTCTGTCAATTCCCGAGAGGATGAGGTTGCGCTTCGCAGAAGCTGGCTCTCCCGCCGTGCGTAGTAGTCTTCGGCATGCTGGAGGTGGTTTGTTATAAGGGCTACGAGTTGGGAAGCTGGTGAGGGAGGAAGTGGCCGAGTGGGCTAACGCGTCTCAGCTCGGAGCGTGGAGCGAAAGCTTGCACTGGGACCCTCCTCGGTTCGATTCCCCACCGCCCCCGCCCGTTTCGATCTGGATGAGTTTCGTACCGGCACGCTTTCGTGTGATCACTACTGCGTGATGCACGTTAAAAATCCCAGGTTAGCGGTTGTACTGCACTGGCTAAATTTTTCATCTACAGCTAAGAGACCGTTTACCCGTCGTCGCGTATTTCCATCAGGGCAGTATAAACATACAGAGCCAACCAATTTTTTTTTTAAGCTGGTGGGTCCGAGGCGGTCAGGTTTCTGGCGCTGACACTCGCGGTGTGTTCACCTTGGGGAGCGGGTGTGGATTCCATGTTTCGAAGAAAACGTCGGCCGGAACGGAGCTCCACTTTTGACACCAATGTAGCGTTTACCGCTTACAAGCTGTTCATTTACTGGACGTCCGCTTGCTTTGCTCGTAGGCTTCCAACTCTGTCACGAGCACTCTGTGTTCTCCTCCTCGTTGTCTTCTTTTCAGCGACATCACCTTCGCTACAATATGTTTGGACCAAAAAGCGCAATCTGAGTTGCAAGCGTCACGTTTTGCATTGCTTAATGTCACAACTCAGACTGCGTTTTTTGATCTAAAGATATGTTTCGGCATCGTCAGTAAGTTGCGTAAGTTGCGGTGATTAACTCTCCGAGTGTTGTGTGGGAAAGTAAACGCACGAGAATTTTTTAGAGTGCATGTGCTTCACGGGAAAGTAGACACAAAGGCCTTGTTCACAAACAGTAAACACGGTAACTATGACTGCGTTCGGCTGAGCCTCGTGTGAATTTAATTGAGAACATGAGCACACATCGAACGCAGACGCAGCGCGCGCTTTTAATCTGTGCGCCGCGCTGACGGCCGATGACCTCCGGTAGGTCTGCTGCGAAAACAGCTTTAGGGGTATGTTATCTATGCGGTACTTCTTGAAGAGCTTATGATATAAACAACTTTGAGGAAAGAGGGGATATGAGACGGATAGACAAAACATCCAATACAAGGATTATTTTATTATTATTATTATCTGCTTGATGACCCGAATCGCTAATGCACACCAGCTTTTGCGTATAGTTGAGTCAAAAAGCATCGTAAAGGGAAACTGTTTTTGAACCATGTTAACCTTGCCCTCCGATGTTTCTCGGTAATATTTTGAGTTCCCCTCACGCTTCGGTAGCGTTCTGATTACGGCATAAATGTAAGCAAAATTAGTTTCACACAGTAAGTTTCCACGATGTTAGAACAAGTGGCGCGATTGCCATAATAATAATAATAATAAAATGAAAGCGGTTTAGAACTCCCTGTAACGCCAAATTAGAGCGCAGCTCTTGAGGAGGAAGAGGAAAGGGTACTGAGGTGGGGGTCACGGGACCTCGGGGAGGGAGTCACGTGACCTCGGGGAGGGGGGGGGGGTCACGTGACCCCCCTTTCCGAAGTCACCGAAGGTACCCGAGGTTCTCCCGAAGGAACCCGAGGTCCTCCTGAAGTCCTTGGGGGGGGGGGGGGGGGGGGGGGTATACCTATGGCGACGGCGACGGCGACGCCGCTCAAGCCGGAAAAAGGCGCCTAAGAGCTGCGCTCTGAAACCCAGTTGGATGAAAACGACCCCCTTGGTCCGATAGATATTTTAGTCCGGAAGACTACTTCACTTCACGGGTCCGACGTGCAATTCTTTCTCGCTCCCTCGCGACGACTGCACGATGAAAAAACAGAAAAGCGCGGAAAGGTTTGCTTCGAATAAGAGTCATACATTTTTGTTGCGTAAATGCGGAACAACAATTCGCAGTATATTTACACTTGTCCCACGCTAAGTCGCTGGTGCTCGAATATCTGCCGCTGATGCTGGGATATGTCAAGATGTAAAACAAATGTCTACACTCTAAGGGATCCTGCTTCTTACGTTTCGAATATGTATTTTTACTTGGTTGCACACATAGACTGAAGGCGGCGGACACGACCATTCGACGGAGCCAATCAAACAGCAGCAAAAGTGCATATCGTTAGGGCGCTCGTCGGTTTTCTGGTTCCCTATCCCCGGCTAAACCAGTCAGCCACAGTGAATGCGCCGCGAGTCAGCGCTCTTTTCAGTGCCTGATTGGTCGAGCCTGTTATTCCAAACGCTCCAGAACGTAAAGTGCCGTGACGATGCACTTTGGTGCTCCTTGATTGATCGGATGGTAACGTGGGCTGCATCTACTCGGACTTGGCGAGTAAAGGTATACCAGGGTACTATAGACCACCTCAACTCTCTTACGTCAAGCCGGTGCGGTGGCGCTGCTGTTGGCACGGCGCATGCGCAGATGCTTCTCCTCGGTCCAATCTAGTTTTTGCACGCGCGCAGTGCCCTCGGTGTGGACAAGCGAGGGTTTGTTTGTAAACAGTGTGTTTGGCGATACTTGGCGTCAACTATTTTTGCGTTACATTGTCAATGCTAGCGTAGCTTTCGCAGTGTTCCAACTCTGTCAAAACTAGACGCGCGAGTGCGTGCGAATGAGACACAAAAGGAAGACACGTGCCCCCGCAGCAGTGCGACGCTTCGTCACTGTGGAAGCTACGCCATATAGCCTCGACGATTATAACACAAAACAATTAACGCCCAGTATTGTATGTACTAGGTGTACAAAAGATACTAGAGCGAGCCACGTGGTTACAACAGCGGCGCGCATTAAAAGTCTCGAATCCTCGAAGAAGGAACTTACCGGGACCCGTGGCCAGGAAGATTGCTCGCATGTCCTCCGTTTGAAGAGGATCGTAGCCGTGGTTACCTTTGTAGATTTTACTGGACATGGGCTTCATTTTCTCTGTATTGTTCAGCTAAAAGATAAATTAGAAATACAATTACATATTAAGTGAGCGTTCCCATATTGCCATATTAAAAGCCTTCTCTGCAGCAAATATTACACTATTTGCATAATCGTATTGATGTCCTCCCAACGGAAGCAACAGAACACTGACGTAAAGTAAAAACAAACAAATTGATGACCTTGCGCCAAGTGGTTGACGGACGCGTTTCCGATGTTTAAAGAAAGGGTGAGTACAAATAGAGGGTCATATGGACGAACACGATGCACACGCCGGAAAAAAGAATCACTGGAGGTCTTTTTGAGAGCAACTTTGTGACTGGTAAGGCTCAAGAGAAAAGGAAACATTAGTGGCTTCTTTACTGACTAACGTATACTAAACAAAAGCAGAGACAATATTGCCCGACAGATACGACCGAGAAATTGGTAGATTGGGGCTGCAGTGCGAGAGCACTCCCTCTGTGCCATTGTCGAATAAAGAACTACGGTTTCTCGAGCAAAGGAGAGCAGTTTGTGTTGCTGCCGTGTAGTGATGTAAAGCCTTAACGGTGTGTGTCTGTGTTTATTCATTGGCTTGTTTTTGTTGACACCGGTACGAGGTGACTACGGAAATAAAGTTCAGTTGTAAGTTAGCGCACCCTTAGCAAAAAGAGGCCGTACTTGAAAGGAAGTTGAAATACATTGAATATGAATATTAATTTTGTATTCATTCTGTATTATCTTGTCCACATTTAAAATAGGCATCTTGTCCACATTCAAAATAGGCCCAAAATATAATTCCTTCCCCCTCAGATGCCATTTGTGTATTAAACACGGGCTACACACATTTCTTTGTTATTTTTTTATTTTGTTAGTAAATAGTGTCCCTGTGGTATTTGAAGGCACTGCTAAAGTGAGTTACAGGTCAAGAAGGTAGCGGAAAATGCCCCTCAAAGGGAATCATATATCCCTCCCCCACCTCCACATCCAATAGCGTCCCATCGTTTCCGTGACGTCAAGGCCAATAGCGAGGAGGGTCTTGCCTTCCTGTACATACTTGCTTTATCTTTCGATTTTGACTTAGCACTGTGGAAGCCACGAGAGGGGGATTAGAGTTTTCCCCTCCCGATGAAAACAAATACGAGTCTCGGGGATTAGGTTCCCCCTCCGATGGATACAACGGCTGCTTTCAGGGGCTCGGTTCACCCCTCGGATGAATACAGAGGTACATCCCGCAACTACACATTAGAAACGAACACAAACACCATGACGCACTGAACACCTGAATCGCAGTCCCGTTGACTGCTCTAGAGCCTTATATAGCCTACTTATTGAAGGTAATCATTAAACCGGTGACTACTTCTGCACTTATTAAGGTTCCAAGTATTCGATCTTCTCCTGGGGAGTCTGTCAAAGGGGAAACAAAGTTTTGAAGTTCGTGGACGATATCTCTTACTAAAAAGCGTTGGTACAACTAATAATAATTCGTCGCAGTCCCTAAAACAATCTCCACAAAAACGGCTCATAGAAAAAAAAGTTATTGCTTCTCTGCATAGCACCACTCAGGGCGTAGCGAATCAAGGCAGTTTCTTGAATTTAAAATAGTTATTTTTCTTTTCTTTACTAGTTGACTATTTAATATCGCATTAACGTCACTATATTAAAGTCATTACTCATATCACGTACAATGGTGAGTATACACATTCAGTGAACTAACATTGTGCTAACACAACCACGCCAAACATATCTGCTCACAGCACTCGCTGAAGCTTTTCAGCATCAGCAAGTGTTGTGGTTGTAGTTCCCGAACCCCGTTTGTAATTGGTGTGCAAAAAACTCATCAGGTATGTTCTTGATAGAAAAAAGGTAACAATAACATAAGCTGCTGATTTATCAGTGCGATGCTGCACTACTCAATTGACAAACTAATAAAATGTTGTATTTAGGCACTTCAGTGTACTCCACAATCTGCTTAAAGTGAAGTTCTGATAGGCGAGCTTTTCAGTACTTTGGTAGTTTTAAGTCAAACTACCCAAGAATTGCAATCAAAAGATACTTAGAGTATAACACAACAGTATTTACGATTTCCAGGATTTTAAGATTATTCTGCACATATTTTTGATCCCTGCATTTTTATTAGGGTTGGAGTATATTTCGCATCATATAAATAAATATTTTAAAAAATCTATGTGAAAGGTATTTTGTGACGGCTAATTTAGTATTTACATATTTCAGAACGCATGAAGGGAACTTCAAATGTAGCTTAAATAAAGGTATTTTAAGAAGATTTCCAGAAATTTATTTTAGTACTAAGTAAAACAAAAAAAAAAATGAAAGCCGCTTACAACTCCCTGTAACGCCGAATTAGAGCGCAGCTCTTGAGGAGGAGGAGGCAAGGGCACTGGGGGGGGGCTTAAACTAACCAGGGGGGGGTCACGTGACCTTGGGGGTCACGTGACCCCAATGCCGATGTCATCACTGACGTCACTGATGACGTCATCAGTGACGATGACGATGCGGGTACCGATGACGTCATTAGTGACGTCACTGATGACTTCACCAGTGATGATGACGATGACGATGCGAATGTCGGTGACGTCATCAGTGACGTCGCTAATGACGTCATCAGTGATGATGACGATGACGATGCGGATGCCGGTGACGACATCAGTGATGTCACTGATGACGTCATCAGTGATGATGACGATGACAATGCGGATGTCGGTAACGTCATCAGTGATGATGACGATGACGATGCGGATGCCGGTGACGTCATCAGTGATGATGACGATGATGATGTGGATGCTGGTGACGTCATCAGTGTTGATGACGATGACGATGTGGATGCCGGTGACGTCATCAGTGATGATGACGATGACGATGTGGATGCCGGTGACGTCATCAGTGATGATGACGATGACGATGCGGATGCCGGTGACGTCATCAGTGATGATGACGATGACGATGTGGATGCCGGTGACGTCATCAGTGATGATGACGATGACGATGTGGATGCCGGTGACGTCATCAGTGATGATGACGATGACGATGTGGATGCCGGTGACGTCATCAGTGATGATGACGATGACGATGCGGATGCCGGTGACGTCATCAGTGATGATGACGATGACGATGTGGATGCCGGTGACGTCATCAGTGATGATGACGATGACGATGTGGATGCCGGTGACGTCATCAGTGACGATGACGTCATCGGGGGTCACGCGACATCGGCGGGGGTCACGTGACCTCGAGGAGGGGCTCACGTGACCTCAGGGGAATCACGTGACCGGGGGGTCACGTGACCTCGGGGGGTCACGTGACCCCCATGAGGTCACGTGACCCCGGTGGGGGGCTCGCGCGGTGCATTATGGGACATTTCCCATGATGCACCGCGCGGTTACGCCGACGGCGACGCCGACGGCGACGGCGACGGCGACGGCGACGGCGACGCCGCTCAAGCCGGAAACGGGCCCCTAAGAGCTGCGCTCTAAAAGAAGTGTGTATTTTCGGTCTATTTTTTTGGGTACTTACAATTATGAACTGTACTTCAAATACACTCAAATTAGAATGTGGTATATTTCAAACATCTTAGTTTTCTTTAATAGCAGTATCTCTATACTCCTTGTCGGTGTCTGGTTACGCTTTTTAAATAATATAGCCCTTTACACAAATCAAAGCTAAGGATGTCACTGGGAAACTGCGAGTTTACAAAACACATAGAGCACAAAGTCCCTAGCTCCTACTTTTTAAAATCTTTTGAACCCCCCCCCCCCCCCTTTCCAGGCCTTACGTTGTTCGTCGACCTTTCGCGAGTGGGTTATCTGGCCGCCACACTGAAGTGAGCTTCAGATCACTGCCTGATATGAAGTATAAGTTGTGAAATATTTTTTGCAGAAATCCTTGATAAAGAATTCTTTTCCTTCAATCAGCCCGGGGGGGGGGGGGGGGGGGGTGCTGGGATTGCTGGGATTTCTATAACTTGAGGAGAGCAGGCGCTAAGCCAATTCCAGAGCATGCTTTCTTTCCGCTGCATCCTCTCCCAACTCGTACAATCGCTCCTAGCTCGAATTGTGGCGGCAGTCAGCAGACCGCCCATCCCATCGTAGCGTTATGTTTGTCTGCCAATCTAGGAAAACGTTGCCCTCTCTTGATGTGCACACAGAGCTACTATCTTATCACGCAGTGCGTGCCTAAGAACCGCTTGACGTTGGCAAGGGAAGGTCGCGTCTAGAGTCCAAGATACGGCATGCAGGTTGCGTTGGAGCTGAGTGGTCATATTTTTAGCATGGGGCAACACGAGTTTTTTTTTTTTTTTTTTTTTCTTCAAGATGGGCGGCATTCCTTTAGATTTTTTTGTGACAAAGATGATAGGCGAAGAACTTCTGTTTAGTACAGTATGAGCCTGTTTACAGTATTTAACAGCTCTTCCATCGGGAGATCAATCCAGAAAAATCGTGTGCGCCCGCTTTCGGTCGTCTCCATAAGCTTGGTATTACCTCTATTAAATAATTTAAATGGCTACATCTAATCGGTGTAATAGCACAAGTTCGGATGCCGATTAGACCTGCCTAAAATTATTTATTATTTCTCACCTTCTTTATGTAGTAACCAGGATCTGCAGTGAGAACAAGTGGCTGCGTCAGATACGTGTGCTTCAGGTGGAACAGATCGGGCAATCCTTCCCTTTTGTACACATGCAGGCCCTTGATGTTTGCATTCGTTAGATCGTTGTACACCTGCAAGCAATCGAATAGGATGGCACCAGAAGGCAATGTAAGTTCCGTCACAAAGACCTGCCACAGTTCCCAGCCATTGTTAGAAAAGAGACAAATTTGTTAAAATAAACGGGTAGTTGACTATTATTGTCATCTTTTGACGTTTTTATTTTTGTTCTGCTAGTTTTTTAAGTAGGACGCAAAAAATTCATAACTATTATTTTATCATGTCAAGCTCTTTTTGTGGGGTCATATAATCTCTATGCTTATACACGTATAGCAATAATTGCCAGCTTTAGAGACTAACAAACTATTGAGCATTACACATAAGGTAATAACTATTAGTTTTAGAGAATAATGAGCATCATTAACAACATGTTATCCCCGAGTGCTCCGGCATCAAGACTAGACTCCACGGAGCGAAAGAAACGACGGATTCCGTCCGGTTGCGGTAAATTCCATTGTACATTTGTTTTAAACAGCGGGAAGATAGTCAACCCAAATGCGCGTCCGGCGGCTCCATTGTAGATTAGAAATGTATCCAGTGCAGTCCTGCTGCTAGCATGGGGTCTTTTAGACGCATCACGCCATAGTGACTACACGACCACATGCCGGAACAATCCTAGATCAAATTGAAACTCCCCCTTTCCCTCCTTCGGCGGCGGTCACCATAGGCGTGACGTCACAACAGTGCCTGCTGCGCCGCGCGTAAAGCCAACGTGCCGCTGGCCGAAGTTAGTCGGTCGTTTTCCCCGTATTCGCTCCATGAATTTCAGCCACTGAGCGGACCCCAAGTGTCTGATGGCACAAACCTTCTCAATCTTGTCAGGATACGGTCTCAGCATGCTAAATGAACCTCCATCCAGCATGACTTGAATGTCGTTGTAGTCCAGCAAAGGTTCTATATCAATCACAGTCACCTTCTTATCTGCCGTGTCGGCCATTCCGTGGTCGGAGACAACCACAACGCTCACCTGCGAAAAAAGGGTAACCCATGAGTTTAGAGATGAAACCTGCCGATATCCAAAGTAGACTGAATAAAGACATTATGGTTACAAAGCTCGATCTACGGAATTAGTCTTATCCAAAGCCGTCGAGCGTACGCTAATTTGGGGCAAATATTAACATAAAAAGGCGTTTGTTTAACAGGACCAACAGTTCGAAGTACAGGGAGTTCCCGAGAAAAGAGAACGGTGTTCTTGGCCCGTGTAAACTATGCATAGCAGAATGCCGCTCCGTGAGGATGTGACGCTCGCGGTTAAGATAGAATACAGAAGTTTGAAACATGACGTTACCTAGGTAAAATAATAATCGAGAAATTTTTGTGCGAACGTACAAACAAGCCTACAAAAAAGTGAAAGCCGTTTACAACTCCCTGTAACGCCGAATTAGAGCGCAGCTCTTGAAGAGGAGCAGGGAAGGGTACTGAGGGGGGGGTCATGGGACCTCGGGGGGGGGGGGGGGGGGGGGGTTAAAGTGACCCTCCCGGAGGTCACTGAAGGTACCCGAGGTCCCCCGAAGGAATCCGAAGTTTTCCCGTGGTCTTCCCGAAGGAACCTGAGGCCCTCACGGCGTCCTCGGGGGGGGGGGGGGGGGGGGGGGGGGGGGGTCGCGGTTACGCCGACGCCGCTTAAGCCGGTAACGGGGGGGGGGGGGGTCACGTGACCCTCATCCCCTTCCCGAGGTCACCGAAGGTACCCGAGGTTCTCCCGAAGGACACGCGAGATCCTCCCGAGGTCCTCGGGGGGGGGGGTCGCAGTTACGCCGTCAACGACGGCGACGCCGACGAAACTGAAACCGGAAGTAGGCACCTAAGAGCTGCGCTCTAAAATAGACTTTTGTACGTTCTAAAGTTTACCTGAACCCAATTTAGTCAATACAAAAAGATGGCATTTCGGGCGCCTGTAGCAGTTAAATGAACTTGGCAGAAAGAAAGCAAGCAATATCTTTCTTGCTGAGACCATTTCTCACTGATATAAATCCCACGAGCGTTCAAAATATAATTTCTTGTCTGCACGATATTAGGTTCAGGTGGACGTCGGCTCATAGACAAATTGCGGTTATTTCAATTATCTTTCATCCAGGCAACGTCATGTTGTCAAACTTTCGCGTTCCTTCGCTACCCCCTAAGTTCACATACTTAGAGCTATCTGCGATGCATAATTTATTTATCTGGGCCGAGAAACGCGATTCTTTCTTCTCGGGAACTGCACGTATAAGGAAATACGCCACACATTTTAAGAACCGATAATTAGCTAGCAGTTACACTCCCTTGTACGACAATGTCAGATCGGAGCGGTTCCACTTCGAATTCGCGCGGTTCTAAACTTGTGGACAGTTCAGATCCGCGCGGTTCTGAATGTAACCAGTCGGATCTAGCGAGACGCAGTGCACTGGAACCGCGCGGTGATGGGTGGATCCGATCTGTTTCCCTTAATTCCAGTAGGGTCCGCTCATGGGCGTACCGACTGGGGGGGGGGGGGGGGGGGGCATGTGAGGCACGCCCCCCAGTTCTCAGAGGGGGGGGGGGGCAAGACATGTGGTTTGCACCCCCCCCTCCCTTGAAACAGCTGCCACTGGGCAGGGCAAACACTGGCCGGCGGCACCCAAGGGGTACCAAGGGCACCGCCCCCGCCCTGGGGGAGGGGTTTGTTTTGCCTCCCTCCACTCAAAAACAAGTTGGTACGCCGCTGGGTCTGCCCCCAGAGAGCGGGCGCTCACATGCGCGACTGGAGGAAGTGGGGGAGGTGGGGGAGGTGGGGGAGGGGGGGATTGGCGGGAAATTCTTGAGGTCTCTCGAAGGTCACGTGTTAGGGGCATGCGCATCCGCTACGCAGGCGCTGCGAGCGGGCATTCTCCGCGCGCGCGCCTCGCTTTGTCTGTTGTAGTCGGCGCCAGCGCTCTCGAGAGTTTTAGGTTCTTCGCTCTCGTCGGAGTGTCGGCCGGCGCTCGCCCGGCGTCGACGTTCACGCTGCGGGCGCACGGATACTGACGCGCCCATCGCTGCCCTGGTTGGATACCCACTGACCTCGGCTTTGGATCTTCGTATAGTATGAAGCTGCCGACCCATTGCACTTTGGCTCGGCATCTGCAGATGCGCTTGGCGCTGGTGTGCTTGGTGACAATACTAGGACAACTCGGATACCGCTTGCCCGTCAGAACTACCCGATGCGCAGAACACTGGATACTGTGGTTGTGCGTGCTATCTGTGTGTTTTGTGCACCATGTTTGGTGACGACGCCCGAACGACCGTGTGCGCCTCCTGAAATCCCGCTGCGCTCATCACTGGACCCTACAAAAGTATTTCGCGCGATGCCCTTAGACGTTACAAGCGAGAGATCGTCGCGATTTCAGACCCAGGCTCTTCCGCCTGAGTCTGAAATCGCGACGACGAAGGGCATCGCACGAAATACTTTTGTAGGGTCCAGTGGTGAGCGCAGCGGGAATACCGGCGGCGTACCACCTGGGTCTGAAATTGGGGCACCGGTTGGAACTGGGCGGTTCCAGGCTGGATACAAACTGGTGCCCCAATTTCGGGTCCAGGCGGAACCGGCATTTTTCATTCCGGCCTGTATCTGACATTTTCGTACGGGCCGTCTCACTCAAAGTTCGACAGATGTCGACGCTACCGTCCTATGCGGAGACTAAGTCGTCTGCTTCTTGCTGAGGAGTGGCGGTGGCGTCAGAAAGACGCCGAGCTCTTATTGGCTGACTGAAAAAAATAGTGGGTAGACCTCACTACTAGATGCCTTGAGGTCTACTCACCATTTTTTTTCTATCACACAATAAGAGCTCGGTGTCTTTCTGACGTCACTGCCACTCCTGCGCAAGAAGCAGACGACTTCCTGTTCGCATAGAACCAATCAAGCAGCACCAAAAGGTGCATCCTCACGTTGCTCATCAGCGTTGTGTCTTTGCCATCACTCACTAAATACATCACGCACAGTAAACACTCTGCGGTCCTGAACTTTTTGTGCGTGATTATCGTATGCGGAGCGCAAGTTCGTCTGCCTCTTTAGCGGGGGTTATGGTGACGTCAGAACGCGAAGCTCTGATTGGCTCCGATTGAAGGATAGTGGTTTGAGCTGAACGAAAGCATGCCTTGACAGCCATTATCCTTCAATCAGATCCAATCAGAGCTCGGTGTTATGACGTCATCACCACCCCTGCAAAAGAAGCAGACGAACTTGCGCTCCGAATAGTGTTCATATTATTTTTATTTATATGAACTTATCTGTATACAAACTAAAACATCTTGCAATACCTTAAAGGAATACCTACTGCATCGAAATGTCGGCTCTTATTTTCAGTTTATACGTGTTCAAAGAACCAGTATCACATAGGACACACCAATATCTTGTTAAAAAAGACACGAAAAGGAATTTTAAAGCGAATTAAACGAATAGCAAAGAGATCCCGGTAGATGTCGCTAAAGCCTCGTGTGTAATGCCCGTTTTGGATATTTTATGATAACTGTTTCACCTAGAAATATATATTCTTTGAACCTGACGTCATCCCGACAGCTCTACGGCCATCACAAAAGAAGAGAGGTTGGAGGAACTCTCCAATCAACGGGACTCTCTTTTGTGTTTCCCCAAACGTCGCTATTCTCCCTCTACAAGAAAATAGAAGATTAACCCGTCCCTCGAAATTCACACAAAAGCAGCTTCGCGGTTAGTTGCAGCGGCCCAATCGCTGGCGTCCTTCGACCGCTTCGGTGGCTGGAACGGCTAGGGCATCCTGACGACGTCAGCCTCGCCGCAGCTTTGCTTATCCCGAGATGAACTACGTCAGGATTGCGCCGGATGTAACGTGCTCTCCGCTGGCTGCTCTCCGAGCGCCTGTCATAGTGGGCAGTTTATAACAAAAAGTAATCATCAAGCTCAAAATACGAACGTGCGATTGTCATTTACGGATATTTTGGATCATATTTGGCCTATTTCTGAGCACAACGGGCATATTTCAAATTTCGTTGAAGTATCCCTATGATCCACAATATCCGTAAATGACAATCGCACGTTTGTATTTTGAGCCTGATGGCTATATTTTTCGGTAAAAAAGGCCCACTCTGACAAGCGCTTGGAGAGCAGCCAGCGGAGAGCAGGTCACATCCGGCGCAATCGTGGCGTAGTCTGCCTCGGGGTGAACAAGCTGCAGCGAGGCTGACGTCGTCGGATGCCCTAGCCGCTGCAGCCACCGAAGCGGTCGAAGTTAGGGTGCCTTCATGTGCGCTTCACATAGAGTGATGCCGACTGCCTGTTTCCCTTTCCCACGCCCTCTTCCAACGCCATTTTTTTCCTCTCATTGTTTCCCCGTGCGCCGGAAAGTGGCCATTGTGTCCATCGGTCCTCCCATCCAAGGGGAAAATGCTAATCCTCTCTCCGTGGGTTCCACAACGCTGCTCCGAACTTGTGAGATAAGGTGCTTGCTTCCGGGAGGGCTATAAGTCCCACGGATTATCGCCGATAACCAAAATGGCTGCTGGTTTGACGGCGAGCGGTATTAGAAAGGGTGGCATCACAGCGCACATGAAGGCTCCCTAGTCGAAGCACGCCAGAGAACGGGTCACCGCAACTAACTACAAAGCTGCTTTTGTGTGAATTGTGAGGGGGGGGGGGGGGGGGTAATCTTCTATAATCTTGTAGATTGAGAATAGCGACGCCTAGGACACACAAAAGATAGTCTTGTTGAGTGGGGAGCTCCTACCTCCACTCTTCTCTTGTGCTGGCCGTAGAGCTGTCGGAATGACGTCAGGTTCAAAACATGTATAGCTCTAAGTGAGACAGTTATCGTCACTACCTGTCAAGTTTCACAGACGGGCAATACAAACGAGGCTTCAGCGACATCGACCAGCTGTTCTTTGCTAATCGTTCAATTTGTTTTAAAACTCCTTTTCGTGTCTTTTTTAAAAAGACATTGGTGTGTTCGATGTGATACTACTGCTTTAACCACGTATACACCAAAAAATAAGCTCCGAAATTTTGTTGTAGTATCCCTTTAAGTCTTAACCAAGATCTGTATAGTTTTACTTCGATTTGTACGTTATTCTAAAATCTACATTCAGGGAGCTGATTGTTTTCATCCAAAAGCAAAACAAATTTTGATAATATTTTTTTATACATATATTTTTCGATCACTTACCTGGTCGTGCATTTTTCTACGGTTAATATCGTCCAGGAGGTGCTTGACGACAGCATCCGCATCTTGGAGCGCCTGTCGACGCTCTGGTGAGTCCGGCCCAGCTTGGTGACCTGATGGGCACGTGACGAGTTTCAAAGCTCAGCGGATGACCATCCTGGTAAGCTGAGACTGGCTTACCTCTGGCATCGACAGCTTCGAAGTAGACCAGGGCGAAATTCAGTTTGTCGGCTTCAAACTCACTCAGGACCTTGGAAAGAGCTTCTTGCGTGTCCTTTGTGACATTATCCCATCCCCAATAACCTTTGTATGGCAAGCAAAACGTCGGCTTTGTCCCAAATATTTCCACCTGGTCGGAAGAAAACACACAACAGTTAGCGGCTCGTCAAAACGCACAGTTTGAAACAGAATATTGAGTCTCAAAATAACAGCGCAAGTATGGAGTTATCCACAAACACACGTCAGCACCGGTCACAAAAACAATTACACTTAGTGACACAATCACAGCAGGCAAAACACTCACGCAGCGCTGACTCACGACTCAATCAATATTTGCACTTCTGTTTCTTCTACGCCTTTTCTATACATTCGTGAAAATTGGATTCTTTTTCTTCGACGTCCATGAAATGACGATCATGTCCGTTTATCATGTAGTAGAAAGATAAGCTAATTTTTTCCTGATAGAGCGAGTGTTGGAGTGCTAACACATTTATCGTCATACCTGGCAATATGTCCCGCTTTCACTATTTCTCTAGTCTGTTGGCGACCGCTTCTGCAAGCGATAAACGTACAGGATTGTCATTTCATGGGTCGTTAAAGAAAAAGAATCAGAATTTCCCGAATGTTTCGAAAAGGCGTAGGAGAGAAAGAAGTGCAAATATAGACTGAGTTGTGAGTCAGCGCTGCGTGAGCGTTTTGCCTGCTGTGAGTGTTTGACCAAGTGTGATTGTATTTGCGACCGGTGCTGACGTGTGTTTGTGGGTAACTCCATACTTTCACTGTTATTTTGAGACATTAATAACCAACTCGCCCAAGCCGACGTTTTGTCGAGAATATTGATGTTTACTTAGACATGATACTGTAACTCTTTATTAATGGAACGTTTTGGCTACTGCACTTAACGACACATTTCCTTTAATACCGCATTTGGTATGCTCATGGTTTTCTTCTTTGTATGCTTAATATTGATTCCAATCCTGCTCTGGGTTTCACTGAGAGCCGCGGTAGCGTCACAAAAATAACGAATAACGGAAAACTTCCGTCCGTCCGTCTTCCTGTACATATCGTGCTAAATTTAACGATAAAATTCATGTCACGTGACCTATACGCAAGTTCAGCTTCCCCGCTAAATTTAGCAGAAAATTTCATGTCACGTGACCTCACGTCAAGGGAGCTACAGACCAATTCAGTTTCCCCGCTAAATGCAGAGACAAAATTGACGTAACATGACCTGACACTAATTCAATTTCCCCGCTAAATTTGGCGGGGAAATTTATGTCACGTAACCTGACATCACGTCAGCTATACATTAAATAGGAGTTTTCGTAGATCTCCGCAACCCGCTACGATACCCAGAACTCTACAGCCAAGGCCATGGGCCCGTGCAGGCGCACTAGCAGCCTCTTCGTTACGAAGGGCTTAGCAAAGCGGGAAACGCGGCCTACGAAAACTTCCTGATGCAGTTTTCCCGCTAAATTTAGCAGGAAAATTGACATCATGTGACCCTACATGAGAGCGAAGGCTTGATAGAGAGGAAATACTAACGTGTTTGTCATAGCCAGACGGTCACCATTAGTTAGGAGGGAGGGTGGGAAGGCTTAACAGGTGACCCCACGTTACTTGGTCTTACTTTTTATATACCGGGTGTTTCAGCGAAGACTGACAAAAATTCCTTAAATTAGTGTATCCGAGGTTAAAGGGTCATTCCTTGGGAACGCATTACTCGTGGTGGCGGACGTCAGAAAATGACTAATTAACATTTTAGTTAATGAAAATAAACATGGTTCTAATTATAAACTTGATAGCGTCGTCGAACACCACTAACTCCGTAATTTTCAGAAAGACTGAGCACGTAAGAAGCGTAGTAGCGCGCTGAAGTTACCACTAGTAGAGCAGGTCAAAGGCTGGAGCTCTCATAAGGGACGGAAAAATCGCGTGGGCGACTTACCGCAACCGCTAGCCTTGTACCTGCTCCAAGAGTGGTGCGATGCTAGTGGTACAAGGCACTGCTCACGCACTCATAGTTTTTCTTCTGAAAATGACTTATTTAGTGGCTTTTGGTGAAGCTCAGCAAGTTTCTAGTTCGAACCATATGTCTATTTTCACTATTCAAAAAGTTTATTAGTAATTTTCAGATAATTGGCGGACTTAACTTTCGCGCATTTTGTGACGTCCGGCACCACGAGTACTGCGGTCGCTAGAAAATCATCTTTTTACCTGGAATACACTAATTTATTCATTTTTGTCAGTGTTTGGCGAAACACGGGGTTTGCAGTGTTTTTTTCTAAGGATGACACTATTTTTTTTAAAGCCGTGAAAGCTACATTTATGCTGTCTGTTTGTGCCGTGATTTATACGGCCAGGGGAACATGGCACATGGGGCTAATCATAGTGTTCTGTTGGCTAATAGGGTAAAATTTGTTAATCAACTTTTAATTAGTAAAATTGGATATATGGTTTCAATTAGAAACTTGCTGAGCGTCATGCAAAACCACTAGATCAATAATTTTTTTAGAAATACTTTGAGCAAGTGGGAAGCGTAGCAGTGCGCTAAGGGTATACCACTTGTTCAACAGGTACGAGGCCATGGTGCTATGACGAGAGACGGAAAACTCGCGCTGGCACCTAATCACACTGGTAACCTTGCTCCTGCTGTGCATTTGCGTATTGATGCCACGTCACCTATGCAATTAGAGGACTGTATACAGTCTTCTGAACAGATCAAAATCACCACTTTTTAAATATTGCATTTCATGCATTGCAAGACCTTAAAGGTAAAGCTCGCTGTTAATTTTTACATAACTTTGAAGGAAAAGACATAAGGCAGATTAGATGACATTGGTTCATGAAGGAATACCCAAGACCAAAGAAAAACAAAAAAAAAAACAAAAAAAACGGACATGCTAATGATTATTTTGCTTTCTGCGTTCTGGAAACTTTTTTTTTTTCTTTCTTGTTCGGTATACAGCAATCGGCCGGTGGCACAGAAGTTGCCAGCCATCGAGTCTCTGATTGCGTTAAAACGAGCAAGCCTGGTAAAAAAAAATCCCACAGGTGTAACTCGACGAATATGTTTCTCGACATCCGTTCAGATGCAAGCGATTGATGAAGAGACAGAATAGGCATCTGGGTCAGCACCTGACATCCGTCCCACCAGTACATGGCCGTGCGTAGTCCGTTTTTTTCCGCCGTCACCCAGATCGGCTCGGCGTGGTTCCACCAATGAGCGTGCGAGGCGTTCGGGTTCGGAGCCATCTCGAAGTAGTCGTCGTACTTTTCGTCGTACATGTAGTTCTGGACGAACCCGTGACTTTCCCCGTACAAACCTGAAAAAAAAATTATTTTGTTATTTCGGAATTTGATAAAAAGTACAGTAAACATATCTTGTTATTTGTGTAGCAATAATAAATTAACTATACGGGTACATTCTTAATCCATGGTCGCTGCACATTGAGAAAGTGAGAAGTCCATAAGAGGTTTTTCAGTTGTCCCTCCTCCATGATCAACTTCCTTCCTTCGAACTCGGCGTCTCTCGAGCGTCGAGCGTGCACGCACAGGCAGAGCGCAAAGCAACGAGTGTTTGATGCACTCGAAAGACACGCCCCTCTTCTCATTCTCTCAATAATACTATGACATTAAAAAAAGAAAAAAAAAACGATTTTGTTGCGTAGTGCCGTCCAAAACATCTTGGGTACCCCACAGCCACAGTCTTGGTTTTTGATTTTCCAACCTCACTTCACGACTTAGCGTCACGCCCGAATACAGTGCTTGCATCGCTCTCCAACTTCTCCTCGATGGGCTTCTTAAATGATCCGTGAACCGGGAGGATTCATGGTGCACTCTGGGACGGTACGCAGGTCCGTACCGCGACCGAAGGCCCGTGTTTCGACGGGAGCTCTCGCGAAGACAAATGGGTGCAGTGCGAGCGCGTTCCGATTTTATTTTTAAGCAGTGCTGAGATGCGCTACTCCGTGAACGGGTCAATCAAACTCGAAACCATGCCATTCCACTCGATGATCAAATAAGTCATATAATTCAACGCGCGCTGCGTAGCATGCGAAGATTTTTGAAAATAGTTTATTGAGGGAGAGGAGGAAACGAGAGCACGAAAGAACGCCAGAACACCGAGCTCTGGTTGGAATGATTAGCGGGTATACCAAAAGCAAGCTGCCTTTGTTTTCACTGCACTCGTCAAACCCGGAACACCGGCGTCCGACCTTTGAGGTTCGAACGCGTCCAAGCAGTGCAATTGAAACAGACGATGCCTGTGTCTCTACTGCATTTTTCGATCGCGTTAGAACGCGTACTTCCTGCGCCCGGCGTTTAAATACGTTCGAAGAGTTCAGTGGAGACCTACACAACTAGCTTTGCGTCTCTACCCAAAAACATTGCCACCAGTTCTCGGTGTTCTCACGATTCCGTGCGCGCTCTCCTCTCCTCCCCTCCCCCAGCTTCTGCCTGGATACGCCATTGCAATGTTTACAAAAGTACCAGCCCAGCGTGCGATGTTTGCAACCCAGTACGAGGCGGTTCGTCACCCCGAAACGCCAGCGAAGCATACGCCATGCGCACGGACGGTTATACAGGAAGAAGGTGCGCACACGTGCCTGTACTTTGATTGCATTTCCATTAAAAGTTAGTGTAGAGGGTGTTGGCGCATTTTTCATTTTCCAAATGCCCTGCTGTGCCTGCAGAGGCACGGCAGCGAGCGTTTTGAAAGTGCCTTTCATGCAAAAGTTCTACAGGTAATGCAGCATATACGGAAATGTGCTTTTCGCCAACGTCTTTTGTACGCAGCAAACGATACGCAGCATTAAATATAACTTGAAAGAAAAGCAGTCTGCGTGTTGTTTTCGTTTTTTAACGCTGAACCAAGCAATAATACAGGAATAAACTATTAGTTTTTGGGACAATTTCCAAACAAGACGTAAATGCTCAAATGCAATGGCGGTCATGTGAAGAAAAAAAGGGCTCCCGCAAGCTGTGTTACATGGATCAAGTTTGTTGTTGTAATCGCCGATTTTTTTTTTTCCGAAGTTCTGCGTTTTTACATACGTACATAATGATTGAAAAAAAAAAAAACTCACGTAACAGTAATTCAAGCTTGTCTCACATCATTGGGAAAAAGAAACGTTCCGTGCCTATTTATTATAATTTATGTTTCATTTCCACGAACTTGCCTACCCTTATGCTGGGGGTGCGGGTGAGAAGGGTGTGAGTATTTTAAATATGGGAAAAGAGGGTGCCTTCCTGTGAGTACTTTGAACCACCTGAATAGGGCTCAAGACTTCCACAGGTAAGAAAAGGAGGATTCAAGACACGAGAAAAAAGGTTTAAGAATGGATTACAAGAAGGAAAAAAAAAAACGTTTCAAGTTCACGAATGTAGTTTGGGTTTGTAAGAGGATCCGGAACTAAAAAAAAAAGGCAAACTACCCCCCCCCCCCCTCAAAAGAAAAAAGAAAAAAAAAAAGACAAAAATAACTGTGAAGTTGACTGTTTATGCAAGCAGAGACACTTGGCTGTATTTTTGTTTTCCTCTCCATTCTGCACTGCTGTACAATCCAGATGTAAAAGAATGATGTGTGCACCTTTTCTTGACCCTACATCTGGCGTAACCTGCCACTCAAAGCGTAAAAGAACACGGTTTACTAGCTGTCTATTCAGTAAAAACTGGCAATACTATTAGGATACAGGTCTTAAATCACAATTAAAAGAAATAACAAAAACAACAAGTACTTGAGGGATTTTTTTTGTTTGCTGTCTTTTGAGTTGGTACGATTGTATCTCTTAATTCAAGTAAATATGCAAAGGGTAAAAATATTTATAGAAACCACATGGAAAAAAAAAGAAAAAAAAATGAATTAACGAGGAAAAAAAAAATTAGAGCTACTCGTATTTACGGTGCGAAACGAATTAACAGTTGGCGCCCGCAGGAGCCCACGGAAAAGTAGCACTTATCATTCACGTGACCGGCCATATAGTCACGTGGTGTTTGCGCTCTTTCGGAGCTTCCTATGGAATATAAAAGTTACCTTCTTTAACAAGTTATTTTTATATTCGGGAAACAACAAGAGTAAGAAAATTGTCACTTTCGAATTGACTCATACGCATCGAGCGGGCGCGCCTACCTTAGTGGGTAGATCTCAAAGCAAGCTGCCTTGAAGTCTACCCACTATACTTCAATCAGAGCCATTCATAGCTGGGCGTTCTGACGTCACTAAAAGTCCTGCAAAAAAAGAAGACAAACTTCCGCTCTGCATTCCCTTTATCACTTATAGCCCTAAAAAAACAGACCATTCGATAGTGGAATCATGAACAGCGAGCCTGGTCCTGAATCTACGCGACCCCTTAGCAACAAAATGGAGAATAAAAATCAATATGAGTTAAATCGTTACTGATATCATAATTTGTATCGTGACTTAAATCCCGCTAGTTTTCTTTAAATAATAAAAAATCACACCTTCTCGGAAAAAAAGAATATATATATTATAATGTTTTTTTGTTTGTTTGTTTATTATTTGCTTTTCTTTATGTGAATATGTTCTTAATTTAAATCAAATAATCATAAAGCAAAGAAGAGTTATGGTACGCTGAGAACGAAAAATATGCAGCGCTTTTCTTAGCAAACCAAAGCGGGCTTTCTCTTCACCTTTCACTTAATTCGCCATTGACGTCTTTTTCCGTTACAAGCAAATCGAAATGCAAAAGAAAATAAAAGAAACAAGGTCAGAGCCTGTCGCAAACAAATGAGGATGCGAAAGAAAATCTAATAAACCTTTTTCACTAACTTAAAGTAGCAAGAAATATTTTGTATGTCGTTATACATGTAACGGACACCATGCTGTCATTGAAACAGTTCTTCAGAAATTTAAATTTGTAGTATTATTCTTTCTTCCGTATTAGTTTCTGTGATCGGACAAATTTATCACTCAATTTTTTATGTTTAAAACTACATCAAGTGCACTTGATGTAGATAAAGAATCACTATTTTCTAAGAATCATGATGTGTTTTTTCTTTCAAATCAATTAAATCAGTTTTTTTTTCATATCCCATAAATGAAAAAAAAATTTAATTGATTTGAAAATACAGATGATTTTTTTCTACCCCACTCCTCAGTGAAAGGAACGGGCTTTCGGCGAAGGTGAGCAAACTGTACTCGTCCTTCCTGGACTCCTACCGTATCTGTGAGTCCTAGAGATAAATTTATTTTGTACGTGCATCATATCATCGTATTCTAACTGTGTCGAAATAAAACAAACAAACGCTGGGTTCCCCTCAAGAAGTACGTCGCAACCAAAGGACTTGTGTGCATCTCTAACAATGATGTAACCCACAAACTTTAAACGGAGATTTCTGGAACTTTTGACACCTAATCAGCCGTTGGTATTCATTCACATTGATATGTTACAGCTCTTCGTTCAACCTTCTATCTGCCTGGAGGACAGAGTCCAGAGATACGAGCCGTCCGTAGCAAGCACGGAATTTCCCTCGTCCACAGAGTCGAGGTGCACTCCTTGCGCATCTGCCCCCTTGAGCAACAGTCAGATGACGCGAAAGAGCAATTGGTTTGGTGCCGACAAAGGGGGTAGCCTTAGTATCCAGTCGGTAGTAAATATAAACGGAGAGCAAGGAATTTTACGGAACGTCGTCTGAAAATCATTGTCACGCCAAAAAAAAAAGAGTTCAGTTTTTTTTTTTTTTTTGTAGAATATTTTCGTGTCGTTAAGTACGCTCTTGCCTTAATTACGGGCATAAAGAAACCGTCTAATGTTTTTCAACGAGACGCTCATCGTTAATCACGCTTGCAGAGAACATAATTAAGGAATGTTCGACTATTCGAGAGAACACCCAGAAGCACAGGCGTTTTAGAGGGGCAGTCATCCCTTGTCCGAGGAGCCGAATGCAAGTCCTAATCATTGATATAATCATACGCGGAAATTAACAGGGTGGTATACGACAGAAGAGAGCTACGGGAAGTCAATGTAACAACGGTCACAAAATAAACATTTTAGTGAAAATATGTGATTTTTTTTCTTGGGACGGATGCTAAAACGGCAAGAAGGGATATGCTCCATTCTTCCGTTCTCGTTGTAATTTTTTTTTTAGCCTCGATTCAACCACAAAGTAGACTTGTTTATGAGATGCAGAATACGACAGTCAATTATATCGTACGAGACTCGTGTTCAATGATTAGCACTGTTGGCGACGCAAGTGGCATAAGCGTCGCTGAAGGTTTCTTTATGGCAAAAAAAAATGCTCGTGTAGAAATCAGGTTTTCTTCGAAAATAAATTAGGATTTTACTTTGTACAAAAAACGAAACGC